CAAAGTTGAAAAAAGAAGATACAAAAGAGAGTGAAAATGAACTATCAGAATTTGTACGTACAATATTTTGATTATTATATTAAGTTCAGACATACCTAACCTCTCGTAAAATTGGATGTCGATATTTAAGTCTAATTTTTTTTTAGACGCTACAAAAGGAGGATTCTGCAAGTAAAGAATCTTATGTCAAAGTTGGGAGCAGTGACGGTACATCTGGATTTTTGGGAGATAATCCATCTTCGCAGAGTAAACGAGTGGATTTTTTCAACAAAGGATTAAGCTTCTTAGGATCTTCGCCCATCAAAAAACAAACACTATCGTCAATAAGATATTTAAAAGAAAAATCAAAACAAATATCGTCCGTAATTAATAAAAAAAATTCTTAATTTGAGCCAAGATGATCCAGATGATCTTGGAACAGATGAGGATGAGTCCTCCATCATAAGTGCTTCTCAAGAAAATTCCAATACTTTGGCCGACCGTGTTCATAAAATTAAAATTTTTACTATTTTTTGATCGTGGTCTAAAAAAAAAATTGAGGACACATTTTCTTTGATAACTGGTCACATGATAAGGCATAGCAAAAAATGTTGCTCGAAATAAAAGGTTATTTTGGGATCAAAACTCAAAACAACATCTATCTCTAGATGATCATGTTAACAATACAATTTTTAGTTTGTACCAGTCTGACGACTACACTCGATATATGCCCGGAAAAAAAGATTACGTTTCGATAAAAGTAGACAGCAAATTAGTACTGATTCAAAAATAAATTGTATGAAATTTTTACTATTACGTTTCTAACTATGAAATGTAGTTTCTCAAAGTTTGCTAGCTGAAGGCCGAAATGTTGTGTTTTGAAAGGTGCTTCTGGTACTCACTCTGTTTGTGTATGTCCTATGAACGAAAATGTTAGTTTATTAGTGAGTGATGCCAATTTTAAATCACTTACTTCCGGTTCTGAGCTGCCTTTAATTAATTATAAAGATTGTTTGGATCGTATGGTATGCAGAAACAAAATGACTGACTGTTATTTAAATTCTTGTAAGAAGTGCCCAGGCATGATGAATGTTATTGAGCAACTGAAGGAAATTTTTGAAGAAAAGTGTATTAAAATAATAACTTACAAACAATGGGTTACGGTTAAAAGAACCTCATTGCAGATCCTAATATCTCCAGTTAATAAATTTTTACGTTTTTATCAAGGTATGAAGAAAATGGAAAGACGTTACCAGGGTGTCTGGAATGTAAATATTATGGCTGACTACTGTTGGACGTTTAAAAGAGAGAGTACTAACAATGCTAAGAAACGTAAACGTAATCAAGTTTACAGACTATTTGAGGATAAAAGATTTCAGAAAAGCATATCTTCATAAAGCTTTTCTTTTTTACCAATGTAAAGTTGTAGAGAAACGTAAGTTATGTTGGCTTATTGAAATATACATAAAGTTTTTTCATTTTCTCGTTTAAAGTACTTTCACTAATCAATGTTTTAAATTTATGGAGTTTTGGGGCAGTATAATGAGTGAGTTACATGATTAAGGGATTATGGGGGCAAGGGATCAAGCGACACTTGAAAAATACAGTATACCTATTTTTTTTCAGACCAAAGCAAACATTTTTTGACGTTTTTACATTGAAGTCTACACTAGTAGGTTCATTGAGGTTAGAGATGAATACAGATCAGACGGAGATATCCTTGCCTCTGATCAGAATGTAGCTATTTAAAAAACAACAAGTGAGCCTACTGTTCTTCTCTTACCAGAGCAAACTTTTTTCAACGCTTTTTTAAGCTTATACTGAAGGTTTTCGAGGTTATCGATGAATGCAGAGCAGATAAAGCCATTAAGACCTTGGATTTAATTTTAACAGCTGCAAAACCGTAAAGCTGATATTATTAGATCCCCAGGTCAGACTTTTTTGTTCTGGTAACATGTTGTTAAACGATTTTGGTGAATTCTGTGGTGTCTTTTGAGGTTAGGGAAAAATCTCAACATATACAGAGTAAACGGGCTACGAATTTGGGTTCAGTGACCAAAAATACATAGGAATATGGTAATATCATAAATGGCACTGAAAAAAAGTATTTTTTTTGTGGGCCTGTGTACTTGAAAAAAATGAAAAACCAAATTCGAAAGTTACAAAATTTGTCACTAACATAAATATTAAAAAAGGGAATAAAATCAGAATAGAATCGCATTTTGTAAATTATGATACTTATATTTTATGATCAGTTCTACTTATTATCCCCAGAGAATATACTTTTGCAATGTCTGTAAGAGATGCATATGTTCTGCTTCTGCAGATGTGGCCACCAACCTGAGTTTTGCCTGGGATTTCTAGTTCACGTTGTACGAGCCTTTTTTGATTATTATCCACAAGTGCGTAACGTACTATTATTTTGTAAGCCAATAAAAAGGTTTGATGTATGTTTTTAAAAAAAAATCTATTTACAATTGTGTATGGGATGAAAACTTTAACTATAAAGCAGTTATCATGTAATGTAATCAATTTATATTCATGTGTACCGCAGTATATGACAATAGAAAAAGTTGAAGGCCTACAAAATTGGGTGAATGGAATTTTTTCGCAAGATGCAATATCTTTAGAATTTTATAATATCAAAATAATTTCTGGTTTTGATAATTTTTTAGACGTATTTGTAAACAAATATAAAACATAATTTCAAAAGGCTGTAACAGCGTATTAACCGAATAATATCGCAATTCCAGAAGAAAAGAAAATGTTACATCACAATACGTTTCACATTCATGTTTAGTCAGAATATTATCAAGATAAGCTTAACTTTATGCTGTTCATCTTGTCAAGTAAGGTCATCATCATTCAGCGGTCAAGTCACTGATTGTCTTTTGGAGCTACTACAGATGCTGTTTACGAAAACGTAACCTTATGAGTTTGAACTTATCAATATTTTTCTGTTTATACAATTATTAAGATTTTTAAATTGTTCGCATTACAATTTTATGCCACTTACTTGGTTAATCCTGTTGGTAAACAGCCAAAAAAATTAATCTGAGACAGCCAAAACAATTTTTCCTATTTTTATTTTCTAATCTTAAATAAAATTGAGTAATACGTTGATAGAAGATAAGATTGGAAACTCTCAGTTCTCAGTTTTGTAAAAGTTTTCAGTGGTTGCTAAGCCCTCAAGTAGTTGAGTAATCAATTAATTTTTTAAATCAAGCAAATCAACTTTGAAAATCTTATATTTAACATTAGATTATATGAATTGAACAATCTAAGACTCTGTTTCCATGATTTTATTTGTATTCAAAATTTATCAAAACTATTTTATTGCAACAGTTAATTATTTTTAACGCAGAATGTTTGATAAACACTTAACTACCCATAATACAATATTTAAATAAGGTTAAGCATAGCTAATTAGAGGAAAGTAATAGATACATTTAAAGGTTGCTTGGGTGGTTGGTACCTTACCTAGGGTAGGGTGCCACAACGGCCCCCTAAAAACTCTGTTGCTTTTCGACGCTTAATTTTTTAATAAACGTAGTTATAGCGATAAAACAAAAGTACAAGATTAAGACATCGCTAGAAAAGAACCGTGAAATTATAACTTTGGAAACTCATAGAATTTACAACTTTCACTGAAGTTAAGTCGTTAACCCTATATTTTTTAGAATTTCATAGATTCTTCGAAAAAAAAAAAAAACAAGAACTATTTCAAATTTTTCAGGTTAATCAAAGATTTTGAAATTTCCAGTAGCGATTTGCGCAAAAAATGAAATCATTGACCCCAGTATTTTCTTATTACAAATGAATTTAGCATACTTCATTTACATAATTCTATAATTTCAGAGGTTTTGATGAAGCCGATAAAAATCACCCAAGCCACCTTCAGGTACTAATACAATGATACTGCGAATATACATGTATTTAGCAGAATTATAACGTACTAATGGTTTTTTGTCTAAAAATGCTGCACACTAAAAATAATGTCAAAATTTTTCCCTTATTAATTATGAAACTTGTATAAATTTGAAGCATCAACTAAGATATCTAACTCAAAGCTACCAAAAAAATTTTAGCCCGTTTGGATAACTTGGGTTAGCTTGACAGCAAATGTACATACATACATTCATGTTTATACCATGTTGTTGATAACCGTTGATAAAAACAGACTAACAAAAACACTTCTTCTTTAATTTGTGTGAAAATTTACTCTACCTAGTAAAATCAGTTGCAACATAGTGAAATGTATCACTGTAGAGTCATATTAGTTTGTTCACATGAAAATGTTAATTTTATAACAACTCGGTGGCAAATTCTAAGATTTTTTCTTCCTCTTTTGTATTTAAGTCTTTAGTTCTCTTTATAAAATCCATTCTAAAAATTTGATGTAGCCATACTATAAGGTTGAGGGCAGCAAAATTAATTTTTTAGTAAGTAATAATTTTAAGGCATCATTTTCAATGTTAGACGAAAATCATTGCACGTAGTTGAAAATCATACAGCCCTGCTTGTATCTATTAAGTACTTCCTAATATAAACAGTGTGATCTCACCTTACTTGCTTCCAATACATATAAAGAAATCATATTTTCCTGAAAAGTTATAATATCCTTATAAAATTTACATTTCAACAAAAATAAAACGTTAGGTGAGTTTAATGTATTTAATCTTTTTTTTCCGGAATTTCTAGAGCTTTTTGAAGTGGTATTGAATTAATGCCCTGAATCCTTAGATTTACAAAGTTTAAAGGTTATATTTAATAACAACCAAATTATGTTTAATTTTTTTGGTACAGCTTACTTTTTGTATGAAACGTTTAGTATTTTACTGTTATGTATCTGTACATTAACAAAATCAAACTTAGTAATAGTGACATTATGTCAGTCATTTCGTTCCGACGCCTCCAAAAGAATTTGCTATTTTTTAATGACTTCCAATGCCTTAATAAGACTACAAGAAACTTCTTCAAAAACAAAAAGCTTAAGACAAGTAAGGCCAAATTATACTCACCTTTTGAATACAAACTGTATGGATTAAATAGCATCTTGTGCAGCTGTACGTAGGATGTGGTTCCTTTTAGTTCATCAGTAACCCTCATCAGGCCAGGTAAAAGAGTGTGTGCGAATCTAAAGGCTGCTGCCGCAAAGTTATTAGCAATGGCAGGGTTAATGTTATCACTGTCATTTTTTGGCCGAAAACCTTCAGCAAGAGGCTTGATATCGTGGGCTGACATTTCAGTCTTACCAATTACGATGGGTAGAAATTCAGTGTAAGCAATGTGTTGAATTTGGGCTCCTACGATTCGTCTTACCTCTTGATAGATTATTTCATCGTTCCAATTAGGATTTATCTGGGAAAACTGATTAGCAAGTCGATTATGCTGCCTTGCCCACAGAAGATGCATTGTCGTGAGATGAAGATTTTCGTTCGCTCGAACGTCGCCTGAAGCGAAGCAGTAACGTCCACGTGCCAGTTCAAGCTGCCGATTGCAACCATCAAAAGGATTTGTGCTTGCTGGTAGCAGCAAACGATCATCTTGTGTTACTTGCATCCGTAATTGCCCACCTAAGAAGTACCGTAAATCCTTCGCAGTATTCTCATCTGAACCATAGATCATCGAGCCATCAATGAATGAGGTTACCTTAACCATGATTACAATGTTAAATATTGCTTTTTTTGATAAAAAAAGTTTGTATTTATTTTTAAAAAAAACATTACTTATAAGAAATTTACTTCAAATTTTTTTATATAGCCCACCGAAAGTAAAAAGATTAAAGCTTATAAAATAAAAATAAATAATTATACAGATAAAAACATTAATTATTATTTTAATGAGTATTTGTGCTTAAAATATCTAATACATTCATTATGTTCAATTCTGTTCGGAGATAACACCTTATGAAACGTATAAACTTATTTTTTCTGACACCTCAGAAATATTTCTGATTCATTTCAAACTATGTTTTAATCAACGCATAAGGAAAAATTGCACTTTGTTATTGTTTAATTTTCATAGTCCTATACATGTGTATCCATGTGTACATGCATGAAATTGATGTAAAAGATATTGTTATGTATGCTAATTGTACGTGAGTAGGAAGGTGAGGTAAGAAAGGTAGACGTGCCGTACTGGGGGTATCAACTATTTATTCAAGTATACGTGGGATATATGTAGCACACGGGGGAGAAGCAACGAGACCGCTCGTATTGCCCGCTTGATTTGTACTGTCGTGATACATATACGCATGAGGCCCACGGACGTCCCTTATACATACTTGTCGCCTCGCACACGCCTCGCCATATATTATACATATTCAGTTAGCTAGTTGCACCTTTATTTTCTATTTTATCGATTTAAATTATTCTCATAGCAACTTTTACGCTTTTTTTGTTGGATAAAATAAAATAAATTGGAAAGTAATTTTGCTTGCACGCAACTTCACATCTAGTTAATATTATCACAGGTACCAACAAATCCTTCAGATCCTGAAGTTCATACGATTTTTGGTCAACAATTTAAATTATTCTTCTTAACCCTTACTTAATTGTATACAATGTATAGAGCTCTTAATATGCATAGCTTAAATATGTCACTTTTTGAAAGTATTTGTCATACAGAGAGCTAATAATTGAGTCTTTATTCATACTCATATTGTTTAATTTTTCTTATGAATTTTATTAAGTATAAAATGAGTAATATCTCCACGAGTTATGATTCCTTTTTTAGATTTATGCAACACGATAAAAATTCTAATAAAATTTCTTGAGTCAACATATTGCGTTTGAGAAAGAATCCAAATTTATGTTTAAAATCAACCTTGACCGAAGCCACAATAAATTTTTTTTTTGTAATTGCATTAAGGGACTAATAATGTTGTTCCAATTATACTAGTTTATCTAGCGTGAGAAAGATAATACAGAACAGGCAAGACAAAACAAAATTTTGAGCTGTAATAAGTTGCTGGTAAATAGAACTTTATACTTTAGATAACGTTTGGGAAACCAGATAATCCAGTTAGTCTTGAAAGCTGTTGCATAATTTGTAGTTTTTTTCTAGTACAAAGATTATAGACCAGGCAAAGGAGTTTTTTCGCAAAAAATCTTGTGGGATTCAATTTGATGATGGATTCAGGAGCCTTAGATAGTCAGCATCAGACGTACATAGATTTTTACAACAGAATTTGTTTGAAAGACTTTTTAATAGAGTACTTAAGGTGGAACAACGTAGTTCTTTGGTTATAGCTCTATTTCTGTTAATTGTACTCCAAAGTGCCTGTGGAAGAAGTTGTAGAAATTCCAAAGACGTACAAAATGAGCTGCGTTGGTTGGAAAACCGTTTTATAGTTTACTTGAAAATTGCCAAAAACCAATAAAACAGTAATTTTAAAATTTTTTTTACAATTAATAAGCAATTAATCCTTATTGTCTAAGATATTTCTTAAACTGTAGCTCTTGCACAGTGCGATAAGTCCTCCAAAAATAAAATTTGTACGTTCAACCGTTCTTGCAAAATTGCAATTGTTTAATAGAAAAGTGGTTATTTGTAAATTAATTATCAGGGCTGGAGGCCATCCTACAGCGTCCAACGAGTGCCCACCTCATCACAGGTTGTTAGTTTAGAATTTTACTTTACATTTCTCATTTACAGTTTTTCAATTTTTGCAATTGTTTAATGGTAAAATGATTTGCAAAAAACCGCTTAACTGCAAATTTAAAATTAGCAACAATCTAAGTGCAATCTCTACTGGTTTTTTCTTACGAAAAGCTTGATTTTTTTTTATTAAAAAAAATTTCATGTTTTACGACCCTGGGAAACCAAGATAATTTTTTTTTTATCCATTTAATTCTCACGACTTTGTTGATTTACGTGGGCAGTTGATTTTTGGATATGTTATTCTTAAAAAGCTATAAATTATGGAAAAAAATTTTTGATTGTTATTGACTGCTGTTGTCTTTCGCAAAAGTGATTTAGAAGTGAGAATTGGTATTGTGGCGGCCATTCGGATCGAGCTTCAAGGGAACCCCCAGCTCTGCAGCTTCATGATCGCAATCTAATTACACACGCTCAAAACGGCCTGCGGTTAAGAAATTATCAATATCTTGGCTTCCCTAAGTTGAAGAACAACTTTTGGGATAGCTCGAGCAGATGAATCGTTTGGCCTACTTTATCAAGCCTTTTGTGATTTCTTACTGTCAAAAAAAAGGACATTTCGAAAGATTGTTATCCAACATGCATTTACGGCACGTTTCTACAGATACACCTCAACTTTGACTGGACTTACTTTTTCACTTAAAGACTTATACTTAACAATGAAGTGATTATCATAATAATGCTAATGATAATCGATAGTTTTCTCACAAAATTGTTATTTTCCGATTTATACTTCTAAGGTTTCTAAAGCAATTATTGCATAACAGTTAAATATTGTATACTATTTTTAGTGCAACTCCTGCGACAAGACATACAAACATTTCCATGCACTAACAAATATTTGTTATCAGCACCAAATCAGTAGTGAACACTTTGATGCGTACGCACTATAAAATAGTGTGGGGGGAACGACTCTACGTCTATGTTGCCTTGAAGCTCGTAAACATAAATACGCAGGAAACCTACCTTTTCTTTTTTCTGTTCTATCAGTATCATACTGTGCCTGTACCTATTAAGCAAAACCATGGAGAATCAAGTTTTCCTTTGTACCCTTGGTAAGGGCTTAATCTAGAATGTCTACGTAATGCTGAATGGTAACTCTGTGAGGTTCAACAGTGATAATGCTTGCGAAGCGGCCAATCTAGGGGTAATTTTCCTTAGATTTAAAAGTCTTTGATAATTATATCGATGGTAAATGAAGAGGAAACTTTGGGTCGAGCTGGCTTGTATAACAAGCGTCCTCAGCTCAAAATCCTCAAGGGGTCACTACGTTAATAGTAGTATGGGTTGGGTGCACCCAAGTAATCTCTAGCTGAAGGAAATAAGCGCCATTTTCTCTATATACGATGACCTTCTCTAGCGTTCAGTTGCAGAAAGGCGCGTGTGTAAGAACAGCACTTGAGCAATAACCCGGGGCTTGGCTTAATCGCCTGGCTGCGAGGCAAAGTCTTTATAACCTCTTTAAAATTGTAAGCTTACTCGAACAATGGGAGAACGAATGGCCCGTTGGGAGCCCGGGTCGCTAGTTTGGGAAATAAAACGAAATTAACATAACTTTTTTAGTTTAATGTTGTTTTTTTTTTAACTCAGAAGTTCGTATATTTTAGCAGAGCAGATTTCCTATAGATTACTAAATATTTACTTCTTATTATTAATTTTTTAATTTTACTATAAATAAATAATTGCTTATGCAATTTCTTAATTTTTGAAAAAATTTTAAGGATTAAAAAAAAATTTTTGAACTGTATAAAACCAATAATTGTTTTTCAGTGCGTCTTATTCTTTCACAATATCACAACTCAAGGGACAATCACTGGCATGTATTACTCCCCTATTGAAGAAAGTGGTACTACAGAGCGATTTTTCTTAACCTTATACATACAGATATATTTTGGGTATCACATATGGACTAGGAAAATATGCAAAGTGGGAATTAAGCCTATGTGACATGTCAGTGTGACGTTAAAGATGTAGGCCAGCCTTCGTATTCTCTATATTGTATTGTACCGTAATTTATTGCTTATAAGTGTTTATTTACCAAAAATTTAAAACCATTATTACAATTTTACAAAACATTACAGTATTATTCGAAACTACGCATAATCATATTGTCTGCCATGTAATTTCATAGAAGTGTAACTACATTCTTGGGTACCCAAGCACCTACTGTTCCCTGTTTTTCTATGGCACTGTAAACATCTTGATAAATAACTCATTTACTATAACATTACTTTATTTCTACCTATTCTTTGTAAATACT